GCGCTTTGTTTTTTGATTGCTGGGGTATTGCTGGTCTCTATCCAGGTGGTCACCATCGTTTTCATTGCAACTTAAAGCTTAAGGCAACAAGAGGAAAAGGCGTGTAAATCTATTGCTCTGTGACCAACATTGTTTGCAGTTCATCTGAGTGCAGCAATTAAAATAACATACCACGGCATGCATTGTACTGGTACAAATCCTACTTGCCTTCCCCTCCATTTCTGCATCTCCTATTTTTCCCTCACAATAACCAGCCTGCAAGGACCCTCACCTGCCTCTTTATGGCTTTTAAAATGTCAGGTCTGTTTCCTTTTTTCTTCCCTCCATCTCCACACAGCCTTTCCTCCACTTTCTGCTTGTAGGACAGTAGCTGTCCTCAACTCTGTAAAGTGTTTTAATGTACTTTGTATCACTATAAATTGCATTGTAACGTACAAAGCAAGCTGTACAATACAGTCCACTTAAATCTCGATGGAACAGACCAGTTAAAATTATAATTATTTCCTCCATCAAACTAAACCCTGTAGAGTACAAGAGAGACCATTAAATGAAACGCTGTAAAAGAAATAAAGTTTGTGGGTACCAGACAGCAAATTATGACTATAATTGGACTAGCTAAAGAAATAAAGCTGTTAATACAATGTATCACTAGCATGCCAAATTAAAAAAAAAATATTTTAAATAATTTATATGTTTGTATTTCCTTTTTTAAAAAAGTATTTGCGATTACTAGTTTGAATGATCAAATCTGTTATCTCCTTTTGAAATCACTGAATGATGCTGATTGATACACTTGCATAAATCAACTATAAAGCCCATAAAGGAAGTCTATGAGCAAGGCACATTATAATAATTATCAAGTAGTATTAAATGTTGAACGCCAACCAAAATAATCGCATAGACCAAAATGAGTTTTTCATTTATTTGTACATACGGTGAGCCATAGAAAAACTCTTAAAAAAACATTAAGGACTGAGCTTAAATCCACTAAATAAATCAGGGCTATAACTGAAAATTAGCTCTGACAAACTGTTATTATTTTGCTTTTGCTGTTCCAGTATCTACAACTCCCTTTTAACTTCCTAGAAGTTTTATGTTAAAAGTAATGAAAAATCACTACTTTCTCCATTCTATGTTGCGTGCAAAAAATGAGAAAAAAAATGTATTTTAAAATGGGAATTATTGGGAAATTTCTCAAACACATGAACAGATTTGTTTTCAGTTGTCCATTATTGCTGGTTTGTTACAGTTGAGTACATCTCATAGACGTGTCTTTATAGTCTCACTCTAAATCCATGCTAGCCATCAGAGGTTTTCAGCCCTAGTGAAAACATACAATTCTCAAAGGCATGCATTAAAAGCAACTTTTAAAAAATATACATAAAATGCATGTACTCATAAGTAGAAATACATACAGATTCTATAAACAGCAGGTTTGCAGCACGTTCAGTAGCTGCTTTGCAAACTTCTGCTTTTCAAAACCTTCTAAAAAAGACATGACACAATATAGAGCAAGGCCTCCAAAAATCCAGCTTTAAGACCAAAAGCATGTTTGTTTACTTTTACCTCCTCTAGAGCCTTAAGTCCTGGCGCAAAGCAAAATGAAAAGACAGCTAATGGGGAAGACTCGAAAGAAAACGAAGCTATTTTTTCCAGCATAGGCTGGAGTGGTTACTTTCACCCAGTTCTTGCAGAGATCACAAAATCCCATCGCGTGAGCACTACTGTTCGCACTACACCGTTCCCGCTGCCAGAACCACAGCTGAATAAAATCATGGCACAGCACTGGTATGTTGGCCACACAAGCCCACCGATAGCTTATTTCTTTAAGGCATTAACTGAACTCTGATTAGGCACCGGTTTATAAACAAAGTAGTTTCTTCTAGATCCACTTTAAATGAAATACATTTTTTTCTGCTTTGCTTTTCCGGTAACGAAAATATTCTGAGATCCAGAAATGGTATTTAAGGATCCATTATTCTATCCCACTATTTGTTACACACACGTGTGTATGCATATGCATTATCTATCGATATATAAAGGTCTGGCATCGTATTTATTGCAGGAAAGATCGTTTGATATTGTTTAATTGTACGGAGAAATATTAACTTTTCCAAAGAAACCCCAAACCGTTTAGATTCGAAATCACGTTCCACCCTTACAGTACAAAGGCTGTTTTTCAGCCGGTATTTCAGGATTAAATACTCTCACTGTCACCTTTAAGTAAGTTTCTACAAAGCATTAAGAGAAATAACACATACTGAAAAAGTTTTAAAAACCGAGAACAGATATCTTTCTTGCATATGCCCATATCAGTTTACAAGAGAGCATTTAACCAAAATACGGGATCATTTCACTTCAGAATTATCTTTTTTTTTTAACAAAAAAGTATACATAAAACGTTGAATCAGTTAACACACTTCAGAAATCTCTTCCACTTTGTTAGCTTAACTCTCGTTAGAAGAATGCATCTTTTTATTATCTAAATGTATTAATATACAAGTACTACGCATCAGCAGACATAAAAGTGGTAAAGTGATCAAAATTTGCATTCATCCGTCTCCCTGAAACATTTCTAGTTTCGTTTGCCTTGTTCGCAAACCCAATGTTCATATATATTAAATTATTTTTTAAAATAATAATTTAAAGGCACCCAAGTTTGGGTTTTTTGTTTATAAATGCTATAATGACCACCTCAGTGTAGACATCCTACCTGAAAAATAACACAGAATTGGATTCTTTGCTGCTCGTGTTTCCATTCTGCAGACAAAAAATTCGCTGTGCCAAAATGTTATCTGTATAAAAGCATACTTTGCCTCTTCCTAAAAACTTTGGAAGGCCGGACAGGCTGGGGGAAGGGAAGGCGTTCTTGGACGCTACCAAAAGGCTGGTCTAGCTTTCTGTTTTCTCGCAAGAGCAGCACCGTTCATTTCACCCAAGCGTTACTATTACTATGCATATTATTAATAATTAACAGTTTCATGCCTTTCCCCACGGTTTTATTTTATCTTTTGGGGTGCCTTTACACTTAATTTTCTTCTGATTTAGCATTTTGCATACGTTTCCCCCCAATCTGATATTTTAAGGGAAAAGCTGCATCTTTGAGGGGTTTATTATGTTTAGGGGGTTGCACGGCTCCCCCATTCCTTCGCTTCCTACCGTTTCGGTCTCTCCCCTGTCTATAGCCGAGCTGATGGCCGGTGCTTCGCTTTTGGTTCTCCGATCCATCTCGTCGATGACCCCGTGCATCTCTGAGCCGGACAGACTGTGGAAAAGCATCGCTGAGGAAGCGGAGGAGGAGGCCCCGAGTTGCTGCTGCTGCTGACAGTTGTCGGGGTCCCTGCAGGAGCCCAGAACTTGCATTAACCGGAGCCCTCCCCCATGCATCTAGCACGGCCGCCCCGTCTCTCCTTGGGCTCCGGGCGTTTCACCCCGGCAGAGATCTCCGGAGCGCAGCGCAGGCACTGATCCGAGGCTTCGAGGGGCCGGGGTGCAGAAAAGGCGGGCGAAGGGGCTGAGGGAGAAGGGATAACTGATGGTGTAAGCTTCGGGGCTTGGATCTAGTCTGTTGCGCGGCCCCGGCACATCCCTCTAGGAGGCTTCTTCAGCGCGGGGCTCATTGCCCCAGGTGCAGTCCCAGGCTTTATGCTCTGGCCCAGCTGGCAGAAGGCTGGGCAGGTTTACGGTTGGGAGGGATTAATAAATAATAGAAGTATAAAAAAATTAAACCATCTTCGGTGAGAAATAAATTAAAAAAAAAATTAATAATAACGACAAGCCCCCTACATCGTAGTGTGCGAAATTTAGAGGAGAGCGAGGGAGAGGGAGGCTGGAGCCGGCGGAGCAGGCTGGTGCTGCAAGGAGGATGGGGCGGATGCCCACCGTACGCACTCACAGTCCCGAGGGCTGGCAGCGGCGGCAGCTCAGGGGCAAAGTTTGCTCCTTCCCCCGCTCCTCCCCCAGCCCGCTGGAGCTCATTGGGAAAAGAAAAAGCCAAGGGGAAGGAGGAAGAGTTGGATGGGCACCAGATGGGACGGGCACTCCGCGGCCCCCCTCTCTCCTTAAAGCGGCGCGGCCCGCGGGGCCCGGGGCGGCTGCTCGCACCGCGGTGGG